TTGCTGTAAAAATCCTTGCTTGTGGCCCAGGACTCTCAAGTTCAATATCTGTTTGGCATTAATAGTGAGCACTGTATCCATTAAAAAGCTCATGGCTGAGATCCAGCATGGGGAGATGTCTGTGTGCCGCTTAGCTATATCTCCATAGCTACCTACATTTCCTGATGCTATCTCCCAGACCAGGATGACCAGATGTCATAACCACAAAGAAGGACAAGGTACCCTAAAATGCAGGACATTCAAGAAAAATGTAAGGCATTATGAGATAAAAGCTTAAAACACTAATGTAAATATAAATTCTTTTCTTATTGTCTATTTACAGCTATATTACATTTACTGTATTTTATTATGTACTCAACCATATTTTTTCAATGAACTTATGCCTTGTTGGCAATATACTTATAGAACTCTGAACAAAACAAATGCTTAAAATTCTTCTTTACTAGCAACAAACCCTTGACTGAATTTACATTTAAATTATTACTTTTATTTGTAATTTTCCTATTTGTTCTCTGATCCCTCCTGCTTCTTCCTCAACCCAAATCACACACTATCACACACTCTCCCCTCTCTTGGTACCACTGATCTGCTTCAACAACCCAGATCCTTCTTTCCTTTCCACACTTCCATTAGAAACCCCCCCCCCCCCCCCCCACAACAAAACCACTGCATGGTCAGCAACAGTCTTCTCACCCTTTTCCCTCTCCCCACATGCTGGGATCATGCTGCTCAACAGTTTATTTTTGGTAGTCACTAGGATGTATTGTTGCAGGCTAAACATTTTGGCCATATTTATTGCTTGGCAAAAACTAATAAGCCCTTTGCAGCAGCGGCAATAATAAAACTGTTGAGATAAAACACTTGCTCAACAGAGGCACCAGATGACACAAGGAAAGGCTTTATGGCTCAAAATAAAGGTCATTTTGGAATTCCTCCTGGCCCCCTGGCCATATGGTTGAAACATAGCACATGTCCAGAAAAAGGATACCCTGTCTAAAATCCACATTGAAAGAGGGGCAGCCCCCTTGGCATAGTCATTTCCATGTTGCTGGAGAGCAGGGGATCAGTGGGGACACATCCAGCCATTTCCCCTTAACTGGACACACTGAGACAGGCATGTGGGATTCCTTGGGATGTCTCTGCAGATGTTGTCCTTGAAAGATTTCCAGCTACAGCAAAATAGCAGGATGCATGCTTGCTGATCCCTTTGCTGTCTGACAACATGGAAATGAATGTGCTGAGAAAGGGGACTACTTACGAGGTGGGATTGAGGGGTGGGATTTTGGTCATTGCATGACCAGAGCAAAATTCAGAACTCCACATTGACCAAAAAAGTGAGTTGTGATGGCACCTTCATAATTCACTAACAGGATGCCAGCCTCTATTTTATTTGTTGCTGGATCTTAGAATTATAAAATCATAGAGTTGGAAGAAGCACCAAAGACCATCCAGTCCAACCCTTGCCATGCAGGAAGACACAATCAAAAACTCCAGACAGGTGACCATCCAGCCTCTGCTTAAAAACCTCCAAAGAACGATACTTCACCACACTCTGAAGAAGCGTATTCCACTGTCAAACAGCTCTTACCATTTTAATTGCATTCTCAAAACGACAACATGGGGGGGGGGGGATACAGTAGCATGATTTTCTTCAGGTGCTACATGATGTACTATTACGTACTCTTACTGCCATTACCTTTTTTATAGGCTTCCAGGCAACTAAAGAGCTACATATGCTTTATAAAAAGAGTACTGAAGGATAGAAGACACTTGTTTTGAAGAGCATTTGTGTCTGGTGTTTGGTGGCTATTGAACATGTTCTAGTCTACTTGCATGAAGGCTGACATATACAGTTGATTGGTTTGATGCATACTAAAAAGTTGAAGATTTTCAGCTGGCTGACAAGGAGGTTTAAGGGGTTGTAAGTGCAAACAATGCCTGCTAATTTCAAGTCTAGTATTATCTATCTAAAAATCTATCTGATTTTTCAGAAAAAAACACCTATAGGAGTGAGCTTTGGTGTCTGGTGTGGTAAATTCTTGTTTCAGAATTTTTTTGGGGGGGGGGGATGGTGGGGTTGCAGCCCTCCAAGATTTCAGGAGGAGATAGTTCATACCTCTGGCCTGCACACCAGGATTTTAGCTGAGAGATGCTACCAATTGGAGCAACTGTTTGGGAGCTGTCCCAGGTCCTAAAGTTCCTGATTGTTATCTCAGCTGGCTACTAACCTAGCTACTAGATCTCTTGCTATTTATTAGTCTGGTACCTGATCTCGCCTATATTTAAATTTGAATATTCCTATATGTCAAACTAACGAAATTGCAGATGTAGAAAGCTAGCATAACAGATCAAAACCTTCCCAAGCTTCCCAATATATTGATTTGTAGTGTAAATATTTTGGAATGTACATTTTTACAGAGCTTTGTCTGCCTATCACCTTCTCACTAATGTAAATCGCTCATGGATCCCAGATTATTAGATTATTATTATTATCATATTTAATCTTGCAAAGTCCCTCTCACCAGTTTTTCCTGTTCTACTGACCTTACCCATTATCACTTTTAATAGCTGCTAAAGACCACTGTGGTATCTGGTGTGTGTGTGTCTGTATGTGCCTTCAAGTTGCCTGGGCATTGGACTATGATTCTGGAGATCAGGGTTCAATTCCCCAATTGGCCAGGGAAACCTACTGGGTGAGCAAGTCACATATTCTCAGCTCCAGAAAACTCTGTGATCGGTTCACCTTAGGGTCATCCTAAGTTGGAAATGACAGAACAACAACAAACCTGTCATTCATTGGGGGTCTTCCATCAAAGTATTAACCAGGGCTGATCCTACTTAGCTTCTAAGATCAGACAGGATCTGGTGCCTTTAGGGCATTTAGGCTCAGAGGTTAATAATAAAAGATTATCTGAAAACTCTTTCCATTCCATCCTTTCTAGGGATTGTCAAAGAATTATGCTTTCTTTTGTGATACATTGGATCCTTACAATAGTAGTCCTCAACCTTTGGCTGTCTTGCGCCTATAGTCTGTTACCAATACCTGTGCTGATTAGGAGCTCAGGTTCAAAATATCTGGAGAGCCAAATGTTGAGAGAATCATGCCTTAGAAGACCCCTAGTTCTTCTAAAGCAATGAAGAATAGGGGCTAACGCATGTCCTGTGGCCTGCATTTAGGCCCACGGCTATTTCTGAAGCTCTCATCCCATTCTTGAAGTCTCTTCTAGCTCTTGAGCTGTTCAAGGTGAATCTAGGTCACTCTCTCTTTAATAGTCGTACAGACTCATCATAAACCATCCCCAGTATGTCTATGTGGGTGGAGTTCTCTCTCTTCCACCTAGCTGCAAACAGCAATATGATGCCATGCCCACAGCTTGGAGGTAACTAGTTGCAAATAATGTTTTTGTTGTTAATTGCCTTTGAGTTGACTTCAACTCATGGTGACCCTGTGAGTGAGACACCTCCAAGTCCCCCTGTCCTCAACTGTTCTGCTCCAGTTCTGCAGGCCCAGGACTGTGGCTTCTGTGTTTGCATCTATCCATCTAATATGTGGTTTTCCTCCCTTTCTACTGCCCTCCACCTTTCCTAGTTATTTGTAAGTTATAATTACAAATACAGCCGGCCCTCTGTATCTATGGATTCTTCATCCAGAGATTCAAGCATCCACAGCATGAATATATATATATATATATATATATATA